AAACACACACGCAGAACTTATGAAACACACACACAAACACACACAGAGAATATATGAAACACACACACAAACACACACACACACACAATCGCTCACACACAGAACACCTGAAACACACACACACACACACACACACACACACACACACTCACACACACACACACACACACACACACTCACAAACACACACACACACACATAGAGCACCTGAAACACACACACACACACCAACCTTCATTCCGTTCAGGATCTCGTTCACCATCCGTATCCTCACGTCCTTCAGCTTAAGGTTCGCCTCCTGTATAAGCTTCTGCTTGCTGCCCATCCACGCGTTCAGAGGCACCATCAGCAGCAGTATGACCACCCCTGAGAACACAGCCGGGCCCAGTGTTTGGTACAGGAGGACCACACCGATCACGATCTGGTAGGGCGTGGTCCACATGAAGAAGATCATCGCCATTATATCCTGGGGCAGAGAGAAAGCGGTCATTTTTTACCCCCGGGGTTGTATTCTTCACATTTTAGAATACTTCTAGTACGAAGATCTCTTTAAAACTCTCAGTATTCTTAAAAAAATCATTTTGACAGACTGCTATGCAAAGCATACGGATCGGATTAACGAGTAAATTTCCTTTTTGGAAAGTAGTGGCTCAGAGTTCCCCTTGTCGTATGGATACGATAGTAAAACACGCAAATTGCTCCTTCCCGACTCGGGTTTGAGGATCCTGTGCCGGAATCTCCGCAACTTCATGTTTAAATAAATATTCAGTCTATAACCCAATTGTGAACTTGCTACCTGCAAACCCCTTACGAAATCCCAAAAATAATATCTGCCACTGTTCTAGCTACCTGCTAAGATCCTCTCTTCGCTTGTCTTGGCCCGCTAGAATAAGCTAACACTAACAAGGTCACCATAGCAGAGACTGTGCCCACAATTTCGGAACTTCAGCGTGACATTAAAGATAGTTCCAGTTTGGAACGGGATAGCGAGTGCCCACATCCCCCGTGACTCATCAGAGAAGAGGAAGATAGGACTAACGCTAACATTATTTTTTTTAAACAATAACAACCAAATAACAGAAGCATGTCTTCTTAATAATTATATACATAAGCACCATCCCACATGATCACTTATCACCACCATCACCGTCATTTCTAAAGTCATCATTGCTCTCAGATCCTTCACAAACATCTATAATTATCTTAACCATTTATATATGTAACAGTAAAAGTTATATGTCATAACAAATTTGTATGTTACACATTATTGGGCACTCTCATACGCACATTATTCTACTAATCAGATGGCGTCAATGTCATAGAAATGGGCAAGGGACACAAAAAAAGATAGTCAAACACATCGTACGGATAGGGTTGATTAGTCAATCCATTTATTAATCTGTCGATATACAGGTCGATCCATCCATCAGTCAATAGACAGATCTATCTATAGAAGGCCTGAGAACAAGACTATGCCTTAGTCCAAAGTAGCAAAAACTGAGTTCTTGGTATCTATAAATAGAGAAGACTTCCCCACAGTTATTGATCGTGCACATAACGCTACGCCGTTAACAGTGTCGCCAGAAAAAGGGAAAAACTGAAGCGTATCCAAAAGCAAATAATATAGACTTAAGTCCATGGG